CAGGCTGTGGTTACAGAAACTGATGAGCATGGGTCTGCTTGCATGAAAGTCTGGGACCCTGGCCAGCTTCCAGCCAGAAAGCTCCATTAGCACGGGAAGGAAGCCTCAATTCAAGGTCTTCCAAGGCCATTACATAGCTGAGGTGGGCAGCTGCCTCCTGTCGAGACCACAGTTGCAGCAAGCAGGGCTGATGTATGATAGAAGAATAAGCCTCAGGACTTCAGGACACATAGACATGTACATGATGAGGAACAGAGTAGGAGAGCAGTCCCTGGGTGGCACAAACGGTTAAATGCTTGACTACAAGCCAGAAGGTTGGTGGTTTGAACCCACCCAAAGATGCCTTGGAAGACAGACCTGATGGTTTGCTTCTTAAAGGTCACAAACATTGAAAACCCTATGGAGTCCAGTTCCACTGCACACACACGGAGTTACCATGAGTTGTATCAGCTCAATGGCAACTAACAACAACAACAACAACTCCTTAGAGAGTATAGAGGATGGAAGAGAATGAGTATGTCCTTGGCTTGTAGTACAGGCTGGCCATAGTCTACAAATATTCAACAATATTCACAGATGAAGCACAGAGCCGTCTAACAGCTTTGCCCAAGGTTGCAAAGCTGGAGATCAGCAAGAACTTCTAGAGAAAACCATCCAGAGAGGTGTATGAGTTCTCCCACCTCCATGATCCCATCCTAGTCCAAGCCGTCATCACTTCTCATAACGATCATTGCAATTGTTTCCTTACTGGTCTCTCTCCTACCACCCTTGTTCCCCTACAGGCCATTTTCTACCCAACAGCCAGGGTGATCTCTCTCTCTCTCTTTTTTTTAGATGTTGTGGTAAAATAGATACAATGTAAAATCTGCCATTTTAACCACTTAAAAATATACAATTCAGTGGCATCAATTAATATCTACAATGTTGAACAACCATCACCACTATTTGTCTCTAAAACATCACCCTAAACAGAAACTCAGTACCCTTGAAGTAATAACCCCCTTATCCCCTCCCTCCAGCCCCTGGTAACCTCTAATCTGTTTTCTGTCTCTGTACATTTGTCTATTCTAATTATTTTATATAAACAGGGTCATACAATATTTGCCCTTTTGTGTCTGGTTTGTTTCACTCAGCAAAATGTTTTCAAGGTTTGTCCATGATATATCATGTATCAGAACTTCATTTCTCTTTACGGCTAAATAACATTCCATTATGTGTATTGATTACATTCTGTTTATCCATTCAAATGCTGATGGACACTTGGGCTATTTTATTTCACCTTTTAGCTATTGTGAATAGTGCTGCAATGAACGCTGGTGTACCAGAGATTCTTTTTAAAATATAAGTTAGATCATGTCCCTTTCTACTTAAAACCTTCCAATGGCTCCCATCTCATGGAGAGAAACAGTCAAACTTTACACAGGTCTCTGCTACTTCACTGACTTCATGTCCTATTATTCTCCCAACCCATTCCCTATCACCACTCTACCCTGTTGTGCCCCGAATGTGACAGATGCTCTTCCCTTTGCTGGGAATACTTCCCCTGGGTATCCTCATGGCTCCCTCCCTTAGGTCCTGCAAGTCTTTGCTCAGATGTTGTCCTCTCCTTGTATCTTCTGCCATACCATGGCAAAAGCACAGACAGGCCACTGTGGTGTGACATGGTGCTAATAAGACAGCTATGTGTACCATGCAGGGATCATGGGAGCCAATGACTCCATGGATCAGGAGCCATCTGGGTGACCAGGTCTTGGTGGATGAGAGGAATGAAACGTTGAATAACTCCAAGTCATTCTCTCTCTTTCCTGATCCTTTTTTCTTCCCAGCACTTGGCATAGGAGTTCTGGTGGTGTAGTGTCTAAGGCATTTAAGTGCTAACCAGAAGGTTGGCAGTTCAAACTCACCAGCCACTCCTTGGAAGGAAAGCTGGGCAATCTACTTCCATAGTGATAACTGCCTCGGAAACCCAAGGAGGTCACTATGAGTCGAACTGACTCAACAGCAGTGAGTTTGGGTTCTTCTTCTTTTTTTTTGTTTTAGCACTTGGCACTACCTGACAGATACTTGTTTGTTCACTGTCAACCTCCCTTCACTAGAATGTCTGCTCCCTGAGGGCAAGGACTTGTGTGCTTTGTTCACTGTAGTATCTCCAGTGCCTAAACAATTGTGGGGCATTTAGTATGTGCTCAAAAAAAAAAAAAAAAAAAAAATCTGTTGCATGAATGAATGAATGAATGGCAGACAATGGTTAATACTATGTGATAAATATCATGACAGAGGTCAGGACAGGGTCAGAACCTAGAGGAGGCAACCCCACCACCTAAGAACAGAGGCTTTCTTCAGGGGTGGTGACTGGCCTGAGTACTGAAGATAAAGAGACTTGGAGAAGCAAAGGCTGGTGGGCACAGAATTCCTAATAAAGGGAGCAGCCTGGGCAAAGGCTCAGTGGGAAACAAAGGAAACACTAAGAATGGAGAACTATTTGAGCACTAAAATCTGTTTTGAGCATGAGTGGGGAGTGGTTCAAAGAGTGGTTCTCAAATGGACTCCCTTCTGTGGATTGGCTCTCAGCCCAACAGTAGAAAGACCTGCATGCAGAACACCTACCCCAGGGAGATGCACCTCTAAGATCAGTCAGGCATGAGCCATCAGAGGGGCAGCATTCACACAGGGGGAAAGCTGGACAGACAGGAATGCATGGATAAGAAGGGCACACGGAGGGGGTAGTCACAGGGAGGAGAGTTTTTTATGGTTGGGGGTTATAATCGGGCCATGAAACCAAATGTGGACGAACTGTTGAATGTAAAACAAATCTGCTTTGTAAATTTGTACTCAAAGCACAATTTAAAAAAATTAAAAAGAGAGAGAAAAAAAGAAGAGTGATTCTCAAAATGTGGTCTATGGACCTCTGACGGCCCCCTGAGATTCTGTTGGTGCAGAAAAGGGAGCTGACAAGGTCAGAACTATTTTCATAATAATATTAACATGTTATTTGACCTTTTCACTTTTTTGACATTTGTACTAATGGTACAAAAGCAATGGTGGGTAAAACTTCTGCAGTTTTATTAATTTACTTAATAAACTTAATTAATACATATAATCAGTAAGCATAATCAACTAATTTAATTCCATTAATTAATTAACTCAATTAAGACAATGACACCAAAATGTATGAGTATTTTTTACCACCATGCATTTATTAGGGGGAAAAAAAAACAAGCCAGTTTCACCTCAGAATATCTTTGATGAAACAGAGCAAATGGTAAATTTTATTAAAATTTGACCTTTGAAAATGTGTCTTTTTGATATTCTGTGTGATGAAAAAAAAAATGGGCAGTGCAAAGAGCATGCACTCCAAAACCATCTGTTGCCTGAGTGAATGAATGGCAGACAATGTGAAGAGTACATGGTGAATGCTACATGGAATATGTGCTGTGTGTCTCAGTATGACCGTTGTCCAGAGGAAAGGGCCTGGGCGACTGTTTGAGCTGTGCACCAACCAAGCCTCATTTTTCACAGAACATCATGTTTACTTATAAGAATGACTGACAGACAAACTGAGTACTTGGCAGACATTTTCTTGAAAATAAACACAGCCTCTCACTTCAGGAAAAGAACTAACAGTATTCATTGCCAATAACAAAATGAGAGCTTTCAAGCCAAAACTGCAAGTTTAGAAGACCGTGTCCACCTCATGAGCTTAACTGCTTCTCTATATAAGATTTTTCAGATGAGATTGGTGGTGATACCCATGCATGTGCTATGTTTTATATTGTATAATGACAGGTGCCAGCAGTTGGAAGATCTGCACAACGCTGTGAACCTGTATTTTCCAAATGACCAACATTCTATTCAAAATGCAAGACTGACCAGTGGATTTAAAAAAAAAAAGGCTGTAATTTTTTGGAAGACGGTCACCAGGCTTTCTTCTGAGGTGCCTTGGGAAGAAGTTAGTAGCCAAGGTCAACAATTTCCTCTTTTTTAAAAATTGTGCTTTGCATACAAATTTACTTAACCATTTGCTCTTAACCAGGGAGTTTAGTATGGCCTGGGAGGCTACTGTGATTAGTTCACTGATACGGTTTTGGGTTCCATGCTACAACTAATCTTTGAGAAACGATCACTTACTGAGTTTTGGTGTAGTATACAGAAAAATATCCATAATCATCTAAAAAAGACTACAAAACTACTCCTCCCTTTTCTGAATACATGTCTCAGCGAGCCCTGACTTTCCTCATAAACTTCAGCTAAAATAACATAATGTAACAGATTAAATGCTGAAAAAGATATGACAACCCAGCTGTCTTCTTTTAAGCCAGAGATGGAAAAGATTTGCTAAATGTAAAGCAGTGTCACCCTTCTAATTTGTTTTGGAAAACTTAGTCATTTTTCATGAAGATGTGTTATTTATCTAAACATGTGATGGGTAGATGATTTTCTCAGTTTAAACTTCTAATATGATAAATATCCATACCTATGAGCCACATAAATAAAAAGCTCTTTGGGGTTCTGAAAAACTGTTAAAGTATAACCAGGTCCTGAAGCCAAAATGATTGAGAATCATTGGGTTGGAGTGTTCGCATGGTTGGGTGTCAGAGGGCCACAGGGAAGGACGGTGGGTGGGTGAAGGCTAAGAGCAGGTGTAAGGAGGCCAGGTAGAAGGCGGTTCAGGTGACGCAGGTGAGAAGCAATGAGGCGCCATCAGGCAGAAGGGGGCAACACTGAGAAGGGTAAAGAGATAAGAGCTAAATGACTAACACAAGGTGGCAGGAGGAAGGGGAAAGTGAGAAGGGAGTTGAGGATGTTTGTTACTCAGGTGGTTGCTTGGCACTCAGGTAAATGGAGGTGTCATTCATGAAGGCATGGGGTTGTGGGGGAAGATGAGACTCATCTTATGGCTACCACAGGGCAGGAGTCTAGCAAAAGAAGGACACCGAAGATGTCCCAGGCCAACCTGTGGCAAGGCATGGGGTAGGGCCCACCAGCCCACACGTGGCTACCTTTTTGCGTGGCCGGAGCTTATCTCGCCATTCCTTCAGGGTCTGGTTATGGCTCTCATCCAGGGCCTTCAGCTTCTGGGTTTCGTGCTCTACCAGGAGGTGACACTTTTCATTCTGGAACAAATTCCAGGCAGAACAGATGAGAAAACTGAGGACTGAGACATGCCTCATAGTGTAGCCATGAAGGCACCAGTACAGATCAGTTATTCTTTCATCCTCTTAATTACAAACCCCATGTATATACATATAACTACACATGCACTGCAAGGTGCCTGGGAAATATTGCAGAATATTGATGTTAATAGCACTTATTAACCTTGCAGTGGGATTTGCAGTAATTTTTGCTTTCTATTTTATGCTTTTTGCATAGTTTGAATTTTTAAAAATAAACATGTATCATTTTAGCAAAACAGTAAAACTATTAATGATAAAATACAATTACATGTGACTTAATCCCAACACACAGAGGCAGGCACTATGAATATTTAGGTTTATTTCCTTTTAAGTTTATCCCTTTTCTGATAAATGGTATAACAGGTATACCATTTAGCTTATTCTGTACATACAATTCTGAAACCATCTCCTCTCCACTTAACATTATAATACAAACACTTCTCCAAAAAATTAACATCCTTCATACTCATCATTTTCAATGCCTAGAGACTATCCCATGGTATGGATTTATCAAATTTATTTAAATATTTCCCTATTTCTAGCTACTTCAGTTGCTTCTAACTTTCACTATTATAAATAACACTGTAAACGATCTCTGTGTATAAATGCTTGTACTTGCCTCACTGCATATTATTTCCTCAGGAGAGATTTCTCACAAGGGCCATGGGCACAGCTGAGGCTCTCCCAACCTCACCATTCTCTCTCTAAGGTTAAGTAAGTTACCTGCCTCATAAAATTTACCTGGCATTTCTCTCACAGAGAGAAGTAACAATTCCTCACAGAAAACAAATCTTGTTGTTTGTAAGGAGAAATAGGGGGAAAGGTGTCTTTATCCAGACACCACAACCTTAACTGGGTTGGAAAAGAAGACCTCCTCCCCCATGGTGGACTTTTATTTTGGGTTTCCAGCCACATTGGTTTATTGTTGTCTTTAGGTGCCGTCGAGTTGGCTCCAGTTCATAGCAACCCTATGTACCACAGAACAAAATATTGCCTGCTCCTTTTCAGCAGTATATCAGACAATGTTTCACCACTATTCATAAGGTTTTCAGTGGCCAATTTTTTCAGAAATGGATATCCCAAACTTCTCCCTAGTCTTGTCTTAGTTTGGAAGTGCGACTGAAACCTGTCCCCAATGGATGACTCACCACTGGCATCTGAAATACTGGTGGCATAGCTTCCAACATCATAGCAGCACGCAAGCCGCCACAGAACAACAAACTGACAGACGAGTGGTTTAGTTAGGAATAATATTCACAGTGGCACTGAGTGCCTCGGACATGCCAGAAGCTGTGCTTGGCACCTTTTATGTTGTTGTTGTTATGTGCCGTGGAGTCGGACCCAACTCAAAGAGACCCCTCCTTGGGTTTCCGAGGCAGTACCTCTATGGAAGTAGATTGCCCAACCTTCCTTCCAAGGAGTGGCTGGTGGGTTTGAACCTCCAGCCTTCTGTTTAGCAGTCAAGTGTCTTAGGCACTATGCCACCTCTATGGATTCCCTCAAATAATCCTCACAGTGACCCTAGGAGGCAGGGATGGGAAGCCTGATACAGAAGGTGACTGACTGGGCTAAAAAAATTATATTATGGCAAACAGAAGAACCCCTGCCTGGTAGACTTCAATGCCTATAACGTGTCCTCCACAGCCCTCTGCCTTTCCAGGATGGGCCAGATGGGTCCAACAGCCTGGGCAGTTTCCTACTGTCCACAGTGGTTTCATCCATCCCCATCCTTCAGACTTGACAATACCTCAATCTACCACAAGGGGGCTCCAAGTACCTGCTCCTGGGGCCAGGACCCAAGGGCATGGCTCAAACCCAGGAGCCAGGGAACTTGAAAGCCAGGGATTTCTACAGGGAAAGCAGCCATCAAGAGGCTCAGTAATACCTGGGACCCCTCTTCCCAAGATACAATGAATGACTTGAGCAATTCAGCTGCATGCTCACTGTCAGGCCCACACAAGGCATTTGCAGCTCCATTATCTCATTTAGAAATCCTCACCCTAATCCTACAAAATAAAGAATTATCAACTCACCCTGTGGCCATTTTGTGGATGTGGGAACTATGGGTTGGAAGGATGGAGTCACTTGCCCAAGGTTACGCAGCCCAAGGGCAGCACACCAGGACTGGAAGCAACCTGCCCTGGCCTGGTCTGAACAGGAGGCTTCCCCGTGTGGAGTCTTTGGGCCCCTGGGAGCTAGATGCCTTGGGGAAGTGAAGAAGATTTTGGCCCTGCAAGGCGAGGGTGGTAGGGCAGTACCTGCAACTGCTGCAGCTCATTTGTGTTGCTCTCACACTGGGCCACCATGTCCCGCATCTGGTTCTCGTGTTTTTGCTGCTGCTGCAGCCGTTCCGACTTTTGCCTCTTCTCCTCCTGCTGGGAGAACTGCAACAGAGAGAGGGTGGATGTCTTAGGAGGCCAGGGGTCTGGCTGGGGGCAGGGAGGGTGCTTCCTGGCCCTACCCGAGGTAGCCCTCATTAGAGGGGCGGTTTGGGTAAAACCCAGGGTCCAGACTACCTTAGGCTGTGCCTCCAATATTTAGTCCTCATCCTGAGCTAGGACCAGCCCCTGCCCTCAAGGAGCCACAAGCACAGACAGGACACAGTGATGTGAAATATGCTGGAACATGTGTACTATGAGGATCATGGGAACCACTGACTCCATGTATCTGGACCCACATGGGTCACCCATAAGTGAGGTGTCGGTGGGTGAGAGGAAGGGGTTTGTCAGCACAGGAAACTGCATGCATAAAAAAGCATGAGTGTGGAAGGAAGTGTTGCATAAGAAAGCAATTAAGTCCAGAGCCACAAGGCTGAGCTTCCTCCAAGCTCCCTTCTTCATACAGTGGATTCACCACGAGGCTAATGAGGCTTCCAGCCATGACTTCATGCCCCTTCCAACGCCCTTTGCTGCTTTTTAAAAAAATTTGTATAGTGGTGAAATACATGTAACACAACTTCAACCATTTTTGCATCCATAATTCAGTGACATTAATTACATTCACCATATTGTGCAACCATTAACCACTATCTGATACTAAATTTTTTTTTCATCACTATTAATAGGAGCTCAAAAAAAACAAAACAAAACAAAAAACCCCACCAAACTAAACTCACTGCCATTGAGTTCATTGAGTGACCCCCTTTGGGTTTCCAAGGCAGTAAATCTCTATGGAAATAGATTGCTCAATCTTCCTTCCATGGAGCGGCTGGTGGGTTTGAACCACCCACCTTCTGGTTAGCAGTCAAATGCCTTAGGCACTATGTCACCAAAGCTCCTTAATAGGAGCTCAGTGTCCCCTAAGTAATGACTTCTCCTCTCCTCCTCCTAGGAGGTCTGGTAGCATAGTGCCTAAGGCATTTGACGGCTAATCAGAAAGCCGGTGGGTACCAGCCACTCCTTGGAAGGAAGACTGGGCAATCTACTTCTGTAGAGATACTGCCTTGGAAACCCAAGGAGGGGTCATTACAAGTTGGATTTGATTCGACGGCAGTGAGGTTGGTTTTTTGGTTCTCCTCCCCACACCTGCCTCTCGTAACCATTAATAAATTTTAGTCTCTGTACATCTGGATATTTCATGTAAGCAGGATGATACGATATTTGTCCTTTTATGTGTGCTGTACGTATATTTTATATCCCCCCACGTTTATAAGGTTCAGACCACACCAAGGCTGGATCTACTGAGATAACCCCAGCCCAACACTCCTATAGATCCACCCCATCGGCCCCTCACCTGCTTGATCTTCTCACGCTGCTCCGCAGCACTGCCCCCACCGTTGATGTGGAGGCTCTTCTTATACATGGCCATGCGCGTCTTGCCTTCGCTCCTCTGAATCTTGGGCAGCCGTGCCTTCTCCTGCTGCTGCCGTACCTTCAGCTGCTCCATCATGCGCTGGTTGTAGCGCTGCATCTGCTCCCGCTCCTGAGGGGGAGCACCACACAGGGGCTGAGACCAGCTGCACTTGAATGTGGTCAGAGGCCGAAGGCCACACTCAACTCTGGAGCCCAGGGCCCTGTGGCCCAACATGCTCAGTCAAGTAAGGCCCGTATTATTATTATTTTGCTGTTCTACTGTTGAATAAGAGTCCCTGCTAACTAAAAGGTCAGAGGTTTGAACCTCCCCAGAGGCACCTCAGAAGAAAGGCCTGGTGGTCTTCTGAAAGGTCACAGCCATTGAAAGCTCTATGTACAGTTTTCCTCTGCACATATAGGACTGCCATAGTTAGAGCTGACTCAGTGCCAACTGGTTGGGTTTGGTTTTTGGTTTACTATTAAATGAACCAAAAAAAGTGGAGGATCAAAGAAAAAGTGGAAGACCCTCAGTGAGACGGATTGACACAGTGGCTGCAATGATGGGCTCGAACATAGCAAGGATTATGAGGATGGAGAAGGACTGGGCAGTGTTTCATTCCATTGTACACAGGGTCACTATGAGTCAGAGCCGACTTGATGGCACCTAACAACATTAAATGAACATTTTCTGTTCACCCTTTAACAACTATTATTAATGATGTTTTGGATGCTTACCTTCTAAATGCCTTGTTAACCACGATGGTGACATGTCATCATTAGCTAATATCTCAAAGCAAAAATGTACATTAAGGGATGGTTCATTATTATTGATGGAGGATGTAAATTTGTATCATGAGAAGTCTTGATACATTTGAATTTCTTCCTTCACCTAACACTTATTTGTATTTCAAAACTCACGACTACCAGAATAACCTCCTCTAAGAAGCCTTCTCTGACTTCCTAGCTGGGTTGGACATCCTTGCTCTGAGTCCCCACAGCCCTCTGCTGACTTCCACCAAAGCACTTAGCTTACCAAATCCAATCTAATCCACTGCCACCGAGTTGATTCTGACTCAAAGTGACCCTATAGGAGAGAGCAAAATCACCCCATAGGGTCATGGCTATAAATCTTATGGAAGCAGACTGCCTCATCCTTCTATGGAGTAGCTGGTGGGTTTAAACTGCTGACCTTCTGGCTGTTGTTGTTGTTGTTGTTATGTGCCGTCGAGTCGGCCCCGACTCATAGCGACCCCTCCTTGGGTTTCCGAGGCAGTTATCACTACGGAAGTAGGATTGCCCAACCTTCCTTCCGAGGAGTGGCTGGTGGGTTTGAACCGCCAGCCGTCTGGTTAGCAGGCAAGTGTCTTAGCCACTATGCTACCAGAGCTCCCTTCTGGCTAGCACCCTGATATCTTAACCACTGCAGCACTAGAGCCCCTTAGCACACAGCTTTTTTTTTTTTTTTTTTTAAAAAAAAAACTCTGCCACTGAGTTGATTCTGACTCACTGGGTTTCCAAGGCTGCAAATCTTTATGGATTACTTCATCTTCCTCCCACAGAGCAGCTGGTGTGTTTGAACCCCCGGTTAGCAGCCAAATGCCTTACCCACTACGCCACCAGAGCTCCTTAGCTTATAAGATATAATTACTTATCTTAGGAGTTATAATTACTCTCACCTGCTATATGTCCAGACTTTGGTTTGTTTATCTCTGGCCCCACTATAGGGACTGAACCAAGACAGACAGTTGTCCCAGAAGTACAAGGTCCCCTGGCTACACAGAGCAGGGCCTTCACTTGGTCTGGGGAGTTAGGGAAGGCTTCCTGGCAGACGTGGTGGTGTTTAAGTTGAGACTTAAAAGTATTCCAAGAGAATGCATGGGAAAGAAAGAAAGAAAGAGAAAATGGAAAGAAAGGAAGGACAAAAAAGTTCAGAGGGAAAGAGATTAAAAAAGAAAGAAAGAAAGAGACACCCATCCTGTGTCAGATTTGGCTAAGGGAGCTGCTAGGCTGGCTGACTTCTGCAATGGTTCCCCACTCCCAGCCCCGCCCCCGAAAAGCTGAGGAGTCGAGCTGTAGGCCAAATCCCATGTGTGACCTTTCAAACCCAACGATAGAAATTACAAGGCTTTGCCTGGCACTGGGAAGTAGGAGAGGAAGCTGCTCTCCTGAACCAGACTTGGTGCAAGGTTTTCCAGAGGGAGTTTTAGTCAAGGATGCAGGCCCCCAACAGGGCTGCCATGCTCATACACACATCTGCATGCCTAGCCCTGGCACCTCTAGTCACAGGCCTCCTCATGGAGGTGGGAGGTTGGGTGAGGCACTTCCCAGGAGGCACCTCTGCTGAGACTTCTTATCACTAACTTCAGCTGAGGTACTTTTTTCCACTCTGACGCAGTACTTTCCCACTCCTAACCCTTCCCTTGCTCCCTTACCCTGGCTCGCCAATCCAAACCCAAAGCTATCGAGTTGATTCTGACTCACAGCAACCCTACAGGACAGAGTAAAACTGCCCCACGGGGTTTCCAAGGGTATAAATCTCTACAGAAGCAGACTGCCTCATCTTTCTCCTAAGGAGTGGCTGGTGGGTTTGAACCACTGACCTTTTAGTTAGCAGCCCAATGCTTTAACCATTGTGCCACAAGAGCTCTTTCCCTGGCTCCCAGGTCCATATAAACGCAGGACCCTTTTGTTCAGTGCTGCTTGGCAGTGGGATGATTTCCCCTTTTCTGTGGTGCAGAAAATGGGGACACTGGGGGATCAGTAGCTCCCTTTTTGCCTCTTGCTTGCTCTGCGGCAGAAGTGAATAAAAGCTTGTAACTTTGTTTGGCTCGTCCTAATCGATCATCTTGATACCTGGAAGCTCACAAGTAGAACATCTGTGGGAGAATCATAGCCACAACGGCCCTTCTTGGGGGCACAGACAGTACACAAAACTCCTCATCACTCTGAAGCCTCATGGCTCACCCAGGTCTTCCTGGAGGCTGACCCCACCAGCCTGCTCCGGGAGCCTCACCTTCTCATGTTTGCGCAGCAACTCGTGCCGCTGCAGGAAGTACTGGTCTTTGAGCTGCTGCTTCACCAGCTGGTGCCTCTCCTGCAGGTGGTGCTCCTCCATCTCCCAGAGGGCCGCCTCCCGGTCTGTGGGGGACACACCATCCGGTGAGGTGCTAATGAGCCAGAACCCAGAAGGGCCCTCTCCTCCACCAAACCTCCCCACTCTGCAGCTGGTAACCTGCTGAGCTCAGAGCAATCGCGACACACATGCTATTGCATCATACTATGCTTACTGATCTGACTGGGACAATTCCTAGAAATGTCCTTCAAACCTATGACAGCTCCTAACAATATGGGATAGCAGACAGTGTCCAGTCAGAAGCCAGAGAAACCTGAAACTGAGGCTGGAACCCAGTTCCACTGCTGTGCTGTAGGATGGCTAAGTAACCTCTCCAGGCCTCAGCTTCCAATTCTGCCAAATGGGCACAACCATACCACAGAGGAAGGGATGCCCTTGAGTGACATTTTTAAGTACAATCTATACTGCACCTCTACTTTTTCGTGGGGCAAGTAGGAATGGCTGAAGAAGAGACCTTGTAAAGAAGACAGGATGGCCTCTTGTCACTATTTCCTCCCTCCTCTGAAAAATGGATGAGACCATCTTTGTTCACTATGTGTCCCATACACATGTTATGGAGACAATGAGATCTGGGTGTTTTATCATAGGAAGTCCCTGTTAACTGACCCATGAGCATAAAACAGGGCAGGGGAGCTGGTGTCAGACTGAGAATGCCATGCCCTGCAAGACAGTAAGTCCTGCTTGGCTTACTACAGATGTTCAGGGTACTTCAGTTTATTCCTGTGCTGTGAAAGCCAGTATCCATGGTGCATCAGAACAAGATTTTGTCTTCCAAACCCCAATCAGAACCCTAGTCCAATAAGTAGGGTGGTTCTCATGAATGCTGTGGGACAGAAAAATGGAAATGAAGGCTTTCCTGAAAACATCTGTGCTCTGCCCAGGATATGTGAACACACCAAATAAGATTTTACGCTGTTTAACCCCACCAACCACCAAAACACTGGATGAGACACTGGAGCTGAGTGGCTTCAACATGAGATCTGTGTTCAAGGCTCCACTCCACCTTCATTAACTGTGTAACCTTGGCCAAAGAATACGAACTCTCCAAGCCTCAGTTTCCTCATCTGTAAAATGGGGATAATAACAGGACTCGCCTCACAGGGTTAAGGTGAGGATTCATGAGACCAAAGTATGGAAATCGGCTAGCACACAGCCTGGCAGAGTTGCTGTCCAATTGTGCTAGCTGTTAAGATGGAGCTATTCATACCCCCTCCCCACCATCTTATTTACCCAGCTCACTTATTTACCATTCCCACTCATTCTACTTCTTTTTTTTTTTTCTGTCTTCCCTGTCTCACTACATTGACTAAGACCTCGGGAATAATGTTAAATAGTGTTGGTGATGGTGGGGGGAGGGCACTGGTAGTTCAGCAGCAGAATTCTCACCTTCCGTGAGGGAGACTCGGCTTCTGGTCCTGGCCAATGTACCTCATATGCAGCCACCACTCATCTGTCAGTGGCAGTATGGGTATTGCTGTGATGCTGAACAGGTTCCAGCAGAGCTTTCAGACTAAGACAGACTAGGAAGAAAGGCCTGGAGATCTACTGCTAAAAATCAGCAAATGAAAAGTCTACAGATCATAAAGACCTGATTTGCACCTGATTGTGGGGATGGGGCAGGACTGGGCAGCCTTTGGTTCCGTTGTGCCTGGGGCGGCCATGACTCAGCAGCTGACTGGACAGCAGCTAACAACAAGTGTCAGTGATAACTGGTATCCTCGCCTCATTCTTGACCTTGGTAGTTTTTTTCCTAACATGGCACCATTAAGGATATTGAGCTTTTAGGATTGAGGGGATATAGCAGTTCTTTCTTGCCCATCCTATTTCCAAAGGCTGGGATGGCCATTCATGGAGACTCTGGGTCAAGAGGGAGCCCCCCACTCAGGCTGCTCACCTCGAAGGAGCTCCTGCTTCTTACTGAGGCACTCGCGCTCCTTGTCACAGATCTCCCGCCTGTTCTCTGAGGTGATCCTCTTCATCGCCAGCTCCAGGTCCTCCTTCTGTTTGGCTAGAAAGTCCCGGTCCTGTTGGGGAGGGGCGGAGGACAGATCTTTACCCAGTGTTGGCTTTGGTGTCTCAGCTCTTACTCTTATTACAGAAGAAAAGTCACTAGAAGCCTTCTTTAAGCCAAAAGCTACTTTAGCTTAGCTAGTAAAGAATGTCTGCCTCGAACACTGTGCTCTTTTTAAGAACTTATCGAGATGGGATCAACTGACAACAGCAACTCAAAAACATCAGACAGGAACCTTAGGGGGTGGTAAGCATACGTTAATGTACGTTAATGGGGCAGGACAATTCAGAAAAGGAGGGCAGAATGGTTGCACAACCTGAAAAACATAATCACTGCCACTGAATCGTACATGCAGATTGTTCAATTGGTCTATGTGAAATTAATGTTATTTCATAAAAATGAAATAAATTCACAAAAAGAAGAAACTAAAAACCTCCACTAATCCTACCACCTAAGGCTAGCAAGTGTTTATGGTGTATGTATCTAAGTATATCTGTGTCTATTTATTATTGTTGTGTCATGAACATTATTAAAAAGACCTTGTTGTGTTAAACATAGCCTTCTATCATATAAACTTTAATGGCTGCAGATATTTCATGGTATGGAGATACCCGAATGTAGTTATCCAATCAATAATTGGCTGTTTTTGGTTTTTCTCTATCTTACATGGCTAAATGTTTGAGAGGAGGAGTAAGCTGCAGGGATCCAGGTGAGGAGAGGGAACCCAGGCCATGCCCCAAAGCGGCAAGGTGGGAAAGCGGGGAAAGGACAAAGGCTCAAGGGGACTGGGACAGAGTGAGGAGTCAGCTGCAGTGGTCGCCATGAGTTGGAAATGACTCAACGGCACTTAACAACAACAAATGTTTGAGAACTGCTCTGACAACTCCCTCATCATTAGTCTCTAGAAACAGAGACACCCAAGGATGTGCACTGTACACTTTTAGGGCTTTGGACACAACTGATTACCCTCCCAAAGGGCCATACCATCTGTTCTTCCTCTGTGGGGGTACCAGCCTGTGTCTTCACTCTCACCACCTGCATTGTTTTTCTAATCCCAGCATCAAGGGCCAGGTTGTAGGAAAGTATGATGGTGTATTGGAGAGAACTGAGGCCTGGAGTCAAAGCGAGTATGAGGCCTTGGCCCACCACAGTTAACTCTATAGTATTACACCCTGAGCCTTAGTTTCCTCCTCTGCAAAGGCAAAAACCAACAACCCCCTACCTTGTTAAGCCATGAATGCTAAGTCAGATGACATACAAAGAAATATTGTAAATGTGGACTAGTTGGTCCTACCCACTGCCATTGAGGTGATTCTGACTCACAGTGGCCCCCATTGGGTTTCTAAGGCTGTAAATATTTACAGAAGTAGATTGCCTCATCTTCCTTCTGCAGAGCAGCTAGTGGGTTTGAACTGCTGACCTTCTGGTTAAGCAGCCAAATGTCTTACCCCCTACACCACCAGTACTCCTTAGCTGGTCCTATAGTCTCCAATAATCTCTTCATTTTGGGGCAGAGGATATAGAATATGCAAAAGCCCTGTGGTGGGCAAAAATACATGCCAGACAAGGACAAAAAGAAGGTTGTGAGGCTGGGGCAGCAGACACAAATGAGTCTGAAGCAGCCAGAGGCCAGGCTGCAGGGCCTTAAAAGCATAGTGAGGGGGCTTATCTTATTTTAGGGACAAAGGTGAGTCACCTGGGGTTGACATAAGTCAAAATCCACTCAAGAGCAACAGGTTTGGTTTTGGAACTGCAGTGTTAAGGTACAAAGCTGTCAGGGAAGGAGTGATGGACCAGTTTTGGAATTTGTACTGATCAAAACTGTTGGTATAAGACTGAGAAAGACCCTCAGGGGAGCAAGAGAGGAAGCAGGGAGACTATTTGGGAGGCTACTGTAGCCATTCAGACAAAGATGATGGTGGCCAGGAGTCTCAGAGGTGTTGACAAGTTATGGATCAGGAGTAGTAAGGAGATTAAAAAAAAAATCGTGAGGTTTCAGGTGATAAAGGACCAGAGTGGAGCATGGGGTCGAGGGTTGTTGTTGTTTGTTGTTGTTTGGTGCCATCGAGTCGGACCCGACTCATAGCGACCCCTCCTTGGGTTTCCGAGGCAGTATCACTACGGAAGTAGATTGCCCCATCTTCCTTCCGGGGGTCGAGGGTAGGTGTCAGGAATGACAAGGTTTCTGGCCTGACACAGGATGGAGAAAAAGAGAATAAGACCAGGCCTGAGAGATCTCAGGTTTTATGTCTTTGAGACTCCAAAAGATATCAGATGTGCAGATGGACATACTGGGTTGATCAAGGAGATGAGATGTACAAACAGATGACCCTATAACAAGGCAGGAGGTCCTCAGGGCATAAGGATGGGGGTGATATAAAAGGCTGGAATGTCCAGAGAAGGGAGAGCTCATTTCCAGTTGGAGTTAGGGCAATCAGGGAAGGCAGCATGGGGGAGGTGATGAGTGAGGCAGGGGCATGAAAGATGGGCAGGTATTAGGTGTGCAGAACAAGAGATGGGCATTTGAGAGTTGGACATGGACAAAAATAGAGAGGGGGAATGAGGAGCTGTTGGGGCCTGGCCACCATTCAGGATCTTAAATGCGCCGCGCCCCCCAGCTCCTCTACTCCCCAACTGAGGGCTAAGGCTGTGCACTCACAAGAAGCTGCTTTTTCTGTGAGTGCTCCTCCATCTTCTGCTTCATGCTCTCCTTCCGCTGCTGCCGGGGGAGCTTCTCCACCTCGGTCTTCACCTGCATCGGAGACAGCAGAGATTCAGTGACGGCGTCTAGGTCAGGACTCCTCACCCTTTCTACAAAGTAAGTCTTCAACTCCAGAACTGAGCCAAGGAGATGGGGGATGAGGCTCAGCTTTCTGGGTACCTGCCCCCCTGCCCTCTCCACCAAGCGCCCTGGCAGGGGGCACCTCCAAGTCCAACTCCAGTAGGCTGTCACTCCAGCTCCCCAATGCCCCAGGGTGGTGAGTGCTGTGTTTGGCATCCACTCCACTTACTCTGATACACCAGCACATCAGTTTCCTTTAGGGCAGTGTTACTCAACTGTTTTCTTCACTCTTGTCCTCTAAGAAGCTTTCTTTCTTTTTTTAATTTTTATTGTGATTTGGGTGAAAGTTTATAGAGCGAATTCATTTTCCATACAGCAGTTCATACACATTTTGTTTCATGACACTGACTGCAATTCCCTACAATGTAACAGCTCTCTTCCTACTTTCTCCCTGTAGTTACCTCTTTCCTGTGTCCTTCCTTCCTACGCACTACTCCCCCCCAAGCTATGTCTCTGTGTTGTTTTCCTCACAGCTTAGAGACTTGGGAAATATACACAGTTATACTACAGTGAGAAAGGAGAGTCCCCCAGGAAAGAATGACTGAAAACCCTCACATTCCTCTGCGGGTGGCAAGACTAATTATGATCTAGAAGGGAGTGTTACAGATGGGCCGAAGCATGATATGATGAGGGGAAGGGAGGGACAGGGGTGCTGACACTTCTCTCTAAGGAACCTAGAGTTCCTCAGATAGTTCTCCTGAGGAAGCCACACCTTCCTGGGTGTCTAACAACCCCAAACATGCATTCACTGATAGAGGATACTGAAGAACAGTTGGTAAAGGAAAAAATATTGTCCATGCTAGGGGGAAAAAAAAAGGAAATTCAGGCATTGTGAAATAAGACAATACAGCTTCTCTCTTCTTTTGACCACAATGAAAAACTCTGGACAAACTACAGACAGTAACGACCTGAGGACACTGAAAAGTAAACAAAAGCGGGGGACTGTGAAGGGAAATTAAACTTGGAGAAGGGACTGGTATAGGATGTGAAATTCCCATTTTTTCCCTCCTTTTGCTCTCTTGGCTTTGTACCATAAGCTCTGACCTATGCAAACTCTAAAAGAGCTCCATCCTTCTGTCCAGAAAACCAGGAAAGGGACCTATGTAGGCCAGAAGTTGTGGGGAGCATCCCAGAGAGGAGAGAACAGAAAAAGGAAACTCCCTAATCCCATGTATGAATTTACACAAGTCTCAGATTTGTCCTTGAGCTGTGTGTATGACCCAAAGCAAAGAATGAGGAAGTATGACCAATATTCAAAGGAAAAGACAATCAACAGATGCCAGCTCTGAGATGAAACAGATGTTGGAATTATCAGAGAAGAATTTTAAACCCCTATGGTATAGTGTCTAAGTAAAGCATTTGACTGCTAACCATAAAGATTTACAACATCGGTGAGCAGCTATCTAAGTGCAACTACTGGTCTCTCCTTGTCTGGAGTGAAAAAGAGTGAAGAAAATAAAAGATGCAAGGAAACAATGAGTTCAAAGGACTAATGGACTGCATGAACCCAGTCTCCATGACCCTGAGACTAAAAGATGGTACCTGGCTACCACAGCTGACTGTTATGAAAGGGATCACAATAGGAGGTCCTGGATAGAGTGGGAGAAAGATGTGGAACACAACTCAAAATCATAAAAAGACTAGACTTACTGGTCTGATAGAGACTGGTGGACCTTCTGAGACTATGGCCCTTAGACACCTACCTAATAAGCCTTGAACTGAACTCACTTCTGTGGCTCAACTTTTGGCCAAATGATAGACAGGCCAATGGGGTAAACAATAACACCAGGGAGGTACATACTCCTTAGGACAATCAACCACAGAAGATCAAAGGGCAATATTTACCCAGGAATAAAGCTCAGAAGCCAGGAAGGAACAGCAAAGAAGGACGAAGGGAAATGGTAAACACAGGGAACAAGTGGGAAGTGTGCTGTTACATTGTGGGCATTACAATGAAAGTCACAAAACAAAATGTGCATGAATTGTTGAATGGAAAACCAATTTGCTGTCAACTTTCACCCAAATCACAATAAAGAATTAAAAAAAAAAACTCAATAAAGAGTTAAGGGGGGAAAAAAAAATTACAGCCTTGGAAATCCTATGGGCTAGTTATACTCTGTCCTAAAGGGTTGCTATGAATCAGAATTGACTCAGTGGGCAGTAGGTTTTTTTTTTTTTTTTTAGTTTTTGTTTGTTTTGTTTATATTCTAGCAATTAACAACTTGAAATCGACATTTTGAAAAACAGTATCTTATACAACAGTACAAAAAACCATGAAACACTGAAAACTACAAAACACTGGAGAAAGATATCAAAGATGACTTTAACAAATGGACAGATAATACTGTGTTCTTGGATAGGAAGATTCAATATTGTTTAGATGCCCATTATAAGTAGATCTATGGAATCAATTAAATCCCAATCAAAATCCAAGCAGGCATTTTCACAGCAATCAATAAGCTGACTCTAGGATTTATAGGGAATGGCAAAGGAACTAGAATAGTCAAAATACTTTTGAAAGAAGGGCAAAGTTGGAGGACTCACTCTACCAGATTTCAAGACTTATGACAAAGTTATCAAGTTATCAAGTTATCAGTTATCAAGACAGTATAATATTGCAGGAAGGATAGCCAAATAGATCAGTGGAGCAGCACAGAGAGTTCAGACATAGACCCCATATACATAATCAAGTTCCAGTGGAGCTGTGGTTAAAGCAACGGGCTGTTAATCAAAAGGTCTGTGGTTCAAACCCATTAGCTGCTCCTTGCGAAAAAGATGAGGCACTCTGCTTCCATAAAGATTTACAGCCTTGGAAATCCTATGGGGACAGTTCTACTCTGTCCTATAGGGTCACTATGAGTTACAGTCAACTTGATGGCAGTGGGTTTGGTTTTGGTTTTTATATATAGTCAATTTTCGATAAAAGTACAAAGGCAATTCAATGGTGGAAAGGACAATCTTTTCAGTAAATGATCAAACAGTACTATAATAACTGGATATCCATGTTGCTGTTGTTGTTTGCCATCGAGTCGGCCCTGACTCATAGCGACCCCTCCTTGGGTTTCCGAGGTGGTATCACTGCAGAAGCAGATTGCCCAACCTTCCTTCCGAGGAGTGGCTGGTGGGTTTGAACTGCCAGCCTTCTGGTTAGCAGTCAAGTGCCTTAGGCACTATGCTACCAGAGCTCCCTGGATATCCATAAGCAAAACAAAATAAAGCTGAACATCTCATCCACACTTCATGCCTTAAATAAAAATTAACTCAAGCTGTTTACATCTAAATGTAAACCCTAAAATGTAAAACTTTTAGAAGAAAGCATGTGTTCTTAGATACAACACCAAGAGTATGATCCCTAAAGAAAAAAATGGTAAGTGGGACTTCACCAAAATTAGGAATGTCAGCTTTATTCAAGAAACGGTTAAGGGAACAAAGGCAAGCCACAGACTAGGAATAAATATTTATGAAACACGTATCTGACAAAGGACTGATATTCAGAATATAAAAAGAACTGTCAAAAATTCAGTAATAAGAAAACAAATCACCTAGTTAAAAAATGTGCAAAAGACCCACCTACTCTACGGAGACACACCCCTTGGAGCAACCGGCCATGGGGCACCAGAGGGGCAGCATTCACACGGAGGGAAAGCTGGACAGACAGGAGTACATAACCAAGAAGGGTACAGGGATGGGGGGATGTCACAGGGAAAGGAGAGGAGAGTGGGTTAGGGTTGGGCATGGTAATTGGGGAGTTAAACCAAATGTACAAAAACTGTTGAATGTAAAACAAATTCTGCTCTGTAAATTTGCACCCAAAGCACAATAAAAAAAAAAAAAAAAGTGCAGATTTGAACAAATACTTTACCAAAAAGATATGTGGAAGCAAATAAGCACATGAAAAGAGACTCAACATCATTAGTCATTGTTGTTGTTATGTGCCGTCGAGTCAGATCCAACTCAGCAACCCCTCCTTGGGTTTCTGAGGCAGTATCACTACAGAAGTAGATTGCACAACCTTCCTTCCGAGGAGTGGCTGGTGAGTTTGAACCATCAACCTTCTGGTTAGCAGTCAAGTGCCTTAGGGTACCACGCTACCAGAGCTCCTCATTAGTCATTAGGAGAAAGTAAATTAAAAACAATGAAATACCACTATGTATCTGTGGTGCAAAGAATTACTTAACATGGCCCTTCTAGCCATAGTCCTCCATTTTGTTATATATTATTAATTCTAGCCTCTGTGCCTATGGTTATGGTCCCATTTTGGAGTGAGTAGTCTGTTACATTAATGATGCAGGATTAGAGTGGGATGTATCTTGAGTTACTGCCTCAAGTCACTACCCTTAGCTTCCTTGAGGGGTATGGTCTACATCCAATACACATGAAAGCTTTGGCAAAATTCTCTCTTTCACTCTGGATCTTGCATCTGATTCATCATCATCTGACCTTCTTGGGACTTGAGATGGCAGCCTATGTCTGACCTGATTCACCAGCTTCTGAACTGTGAGCCAGCAGCCTGTTGTCTGACTTGCTGATTTGGCTTCATTGGCCCTGAAACCACGTGAGTGAGGAGAATCCTCCAGATTGACACTTGATCCATGGATTTAGGATGTGTCAGTCTCCACAATTGTGTGAGCCAATCCCTTGGCAGTTCATGAGTTCTGTGAATATATGAGTTATGGAATTATAAGACAGGAGGGAGAGTACTGAGTGAGAGGAGGAGTAGTTAATGGTAGAGATGATGGATTGGTATAGCACTTTGGAAAAGTTGGACATTTGAGATATCTTTAACCTTTGCCTCAATAGGGCCCGCCTTGTGTTGATCCTTCTAAAAGTAATTATTTGAGTAAATCTATGGTTGTTACTAGTCACTGTTGACTCGATTCCGACTCATGGCAACCCTATGTGTACAGAGT